CCAAAAAAAAAAACACTTTGCAAACAGAAATAACTGGAATCCTTACTGGTGGCCCTGATAAACTTAAACCACTTTTAAAATTTCAGCACTTTATTTCTGTTCTTTAGAATTGTTGTTTGATTAATGTTTCATCACACTTCTTTTCACAAGCTTCCTCTCTGTAAAATTTTAGTCTGTCAGCAACTGAAGCACTTGGTGGACTCGGGATTCAACCAAAGCATTTTGTTCACTTGCTCCTAAAATTGTATAACATGGAAGAATAATTTGTGAGCAAATACCAAAACAGAGACTGATGGATTAAATAGATTTATTAATAGTAACAAGACTGGTAACAAATTCAGACAAATGTAATTAACATGCCTAAATGCTTAATGGAAAAAAAACAAATATCTGTACTGCAAAAGATGCCCACATTATTCTAGTCTCTGTAGTACTAGTCTGTCAACTGAACAGACCCTTTATTTTGTCATGAGTTCATCGAGATTGCAAGCTTAGCAAAATATCAACCTGGCATGTGGGATATCAACAAGCCAAAACCAAGGGGGTGGGGTTGGGAAATTTGTGTGTGCTTGCTTCACTTCCGCAAAAAAATGTCAGCAAAAACCTCTATGGACAGACCACTATAGTACTGAGAGCTTACTTATTATGCAACCAATATTCCTTGAGAAGCATTGATGTAATGGCTAAAGGGGTGCCAAGTATTACAGTGAAGACTTACATGTATAGAGATCACAGCCCCTTTTACAATGCATTATGCTCAAAATTTTATTGATGTGCTANTTGTACTGACTGTCTATACTATCATGACCAGCAACGGTTTTCAATGTACCACCACTATTAACCTCATTATTTTCATTGTGTGCAAGATTTCTGGGAAATTACCAGATGGATAAAATTATAGGAGATAAGAATCTGCAGGGCAATGTGCCGTAATGATTGGATTTAGCACACTCCTTCCGATAAGCACCCCCTTTCTCATAAGCACTCCACCTTGGGTGCTATTTTCTTTCATACTGAACCAAACTAAGACGTCATGTTCAAAATGAAGGTACCCCATCCCAAATAAGCGCCCCCTCTCCAATAACCGCCCCTCCCTAGGTCTACCAGTAAATTAGCACCCCGGGTGCAAAATGGAATCATTACTGTACTTGATAACAAAATTAATGTGACTCATGTATTTGAGACATGTTTGCAAATTTACGAAACACTGGATGATTCTACTGACCTGCTCTTGATCAAACATATTTTGTAGAAGCCAAACTTGACGCACTTTCTTGAAGTTCCAGTTGCTCCTATCAAAGTGCCATGTACGTAAATAGTCAACACCTGGGTGAATGGTGGCTTTAGAAGCCTCTCCTGGTTGACGTTTTGATTTCTTTTTCTTCTTTTTCATGACACTGTCTGTTTTTTCAGTGTCCACCTCCTCGCTAAGCCCTGAATTGTTATCACTCCTTGTGTTAAGGGTGTTCTCTAATTCGATTTCTTTTTTCCTCTTTTTCTTTTCCTTCCTACCTTTAACCTCATCATCAACATTCTTTGAATCACAAGTGTTTTGTGCGTCGCCTATTTGACTTATATCTTGCTGTACTTCATAAAAGTTCTTTTCATCTTGCTTCCTTTTCCTTCTTTTCTCGCTAACCTCGAGTTTTGGCTCTTTTGTGTCTTTGTTATTTTTACGTTCGGAATGTTCACGATTATAATCTCTTAACTCTTTCCTTTTGGTATCACTTTCAAAACCAGGCTTGTCTTTACAATCCCTCTCTTCACAGACATTAAAATTTGCTGTTCCTGTGAATTCCACTTTAACCATTCGTTTCTCCTTTTCCTTACTCTCATGCTTATCATCAACGCTACCAGACGGTTCTGATGAATCAACGCTTCTGTCCTTCCTGCTTTTCTTTCGTTTCTTAATTGAATCCCTCTGAACATCATCACCCAAGGAGTTCTCCCCGTCAGAAGGCAGAGCACGTTTTAGTAGCGGCAGTGTTACAGG